CATCATATTCACCAACTCCTCTTTCTCATGCAATGCCTGAGTCTGATATTCATGTTCCTGTTTTTATATAATGTTGTACGTATTTTATATTTTCAGTACTTTTACCTTCAACAAGTCCATGTCTTTTTATTTATTTTATACTTATCATATGAAATATATATGTATATATATGTATATGTTACATTAGTTGGAATTGCTTATTATACAATTGAAAATCACTGTTCTTTTCATTATTGTTTTAATTCTTTAAAATTAAAGTGGAGTGTGTTTTTTACAATTAGGTTACTTAGTGCCAAACATTTGAAGAGGTTTTTTCAACATATCCATTACTACGTACAAGTCTTACTTACTCCAGTGACCAGAAAACATAGTTTGCATTGTACTTTTTTATTGTGATATTTTCTGCTGAGTGTGTCCTGTGTTCTTGAAATCATTTAAGTATATGGGAACAGTAATACCTGCTTTAGTAAAATCTAATGTCTTCCAACTTTCCTCAACATTTCGCATCTTTTAATCTTTGTCTCTAGTTTAGTCACCATATTTCAGAATCATCTGTATTTATACTACTAATAACTAATTATATGTTTTCCCCTGTGTTTATTGTAAGTCTTGTAATACATAACTTCATGTAACTTTGATATATGGTCAAACAATCCGATTTTCCTTGTCTATAATATATGACCCTTGCCACAGATTACTCCCAAACTTGTTCTGTGCTGTGTTGACATATATTGATTTTATGTTCTTTACTATTAACTCACAATAACTTGATGCTCTTTTTGTCTTTGGCAATGACTAAAAATAAGAATGAGACAGAAATGGTCTTTTATATATTTGTTCCTTTTAAAAATTGCAGGTCCTCTTTTAGCATTTCAGTAGGACATATATGCTAGCAAAAATTACTGTTTGCTTCCTGAAAATTCTATTTCTTCCTCAGTTTATAATTGCATTATAGCCAAGCATGGTAGCCTGCACCCTGAATCCCATAAATCAGGACACAGAGACAAGTGGATCTCTATGGGTTCTAAGGGCAGCCTAGTCTACATAGTGCATTCCAAGAGACTCTGTCTCAACAAAATAAAATTAAAGTATATTTTATTTTCACTGGTTACAGAACTATGTGTTTCCTTTATTATTCTTTAGCAACCTTCGGGCGCCCATCCATGTTTTGTTTTGTTTTTTCACACACTCCCATTGCATAGGTTCTGACCTCAAATGTTTTGAGTCTTTTATCTACTATGATCCACAGTATATACTATGTATATTTTCACTAACTCATCAAGATTTTCTGTACTTCTTGTTGGAGTAGTTTTATGTGTTCTCCCCTCCCTCTTCTGTGTGTACGTGACCATGCATGCACATGCTTACACATGTGTTTATGCATGGACTGCTCGTGTGTGTGTATTTCTGTGTGGCATATGCCTCCAACTCTCTCTTTCTCTGTCTCTGTGCAATTACTTTCATGTCCTCTTTGTCTGTGCATGCATGTGTGCCTCTCTTTCCTAGCCCTGTGTGTATTTGTGTGTCCCACAGCATTTAAATGTATTGTTCATTTTTACCTCTAGATTTTGTCTATTTTTACTTATCTTTCAGTTCATTTCTTCTTTACTTATCCCAGACTACTAGGCATATCCTTTCACTGGGATTCAGGAAAAGTAGCACCATCTTAAAATTCCAGAAGCACAAAGCAAGTAGTCTGCTGCTCATCATCTGAAGGCATCCTTGATTTCTGCACAGTAATGTTTAATTCTGGCATTGTAGTCAGCTCCCATTTGCCAAAGTTACTATTGTACTCATGATTGTTTTCTTCTGCTAAAGTAGATGTTGGACTTTTAGAGTAATCAATAAGAGTTCTTTTTAATTTTTCTATTATATGCTTAATACTTTTGTCATCATTAAGTCTAAGTTTTTTTAATTTCTCTTGAAAGTAAATTTTTGTTTTATTGTATTCTCTTATATGTGTGTCAATTATATATATACATATATATGTATATGTATATATGTGTTTTATATATATATATAAATCAATTGCACACTTGAAGGCCTTGGTAAATACTGTCTCAATCTGCTAATTGTCATTCCTCCTCTTCTACTACATATTCTGATAGACTGAGTCAATATAATCAAGAGTTGAACTACTTTTAGTTAGTATTGTTGCTCTGACTTTCTTTATACTGTCACAGACTTCAAATTCTTCTCATTGGTTCTAAAACTGTAGATTGGTCTTTCCTTGGGTCTTTCTCAACCCAAACTGTCAGGCTTTCTCTGTAAGTCTATGCAGAAAAATCACCAGACTCACTCTGTCAGTGGTTTTTTTCCTTCTCTGCTTGCTTTGTGTTCCTGGAATTTTAAGATGGTGCTACTTTTCCTGAATCCCAGTGAAAGGATATGCCCAGTAGTCTGGGATCTAACAGCTTCTCCTGTTGGCCGTAAGAGCAGACCACTTTCCATTTCTCCAGTGAGAGAATGCATGGAGTGCCTGCTTACAGCCCCTCTAACAACTTAAGCATTCTTCCCTCAATGTCTAAAGATCTCAGGAAAGATTCACTCTTTCCCAAACGCAGGGCTTTCTCTCTAACTCTTGTTCCAACTAGGATGTCCTTTTCTGTCTCCTTCCTTGCCTGCGGTGTTTCTCACGAAATCTAATGAAGAGCACAGAGAAAACTTCAAAAGTGCACTACTTGGTTAGTAGAGCACAGGGTTGTCCTTTATTGTTATTTTAAATGTTCTAAAATTTTCACACTTGTTTGTGTAATCTCTGGATTTTCCACATTGCTCTGGAAATGTTCAGGTTCTTGCCTATCATCTTCCCCTGGAAGATGCCCACGTTGGTTACCCTTTGATTTAGTTGTATGATTATGGAAGAAAAGTTATGATGTTCCAAATATCCAGGTATTTATTATTAGGGAATGATACATAGTTCAGATAGTTTTCTAAATTTTAGAAAGATTCCAAATGTTTTAAGTACTACATATAATCAGCAAGATGCGTCATCTGGTGGTAAAAGGTGACTGTTTCAAGTCGGATGACCTGTAATCAATGTCCTAGACCCACATAGTGGAAAGAACCAAATCTGACAAGATGTTCTCTGTTCTCCATATGCGAACCATACATATATACACACATATGCACACATGCATACTATATATATTTGTAAAATATTTGTAGAATGGGACACTGAGGTGGCTTAGAGGATAAGGTCACCAAGTCTAATGACCCAAGTTCCATCTTATGCATATAATCATGGAATGTGTGTCCAGGCAAACCCTCACTCAGGTAAAGAGGGAAGAGCAAGCAGTATGGTTGATGATATACTAAATTTTCAAAGATTATTTCCATAAACATTCTTTTGTGTAAACTAGCACTGTGGGGCAAGTGTCCAGCATGTCAATGACCGCATGCACTAAAGGAGCATAAAATATATTTACTCATGGATTTAAACGTAAAATAATGGTAAAGACCGGAGTAACATAGAAAAAGAAGCAAACATTATGTCTTAATGTAAAAACTACAAACTTATATAGCTTTAAGACAGGGCTGGACTTACGCCAAACAAATACCAAGCTAAACAAAGTGACATTAATTTCAAAGGTAAAAGATGCAGTTAACAGGAAAAAATGGGGAAAATGTGGTTTTGGTGATCACTGAAGTATATTTCACCCAGTCACTACAGATGGTTATGACTATTGTCCTGGCTTATTTATAGAACATTCTTTCACACTTAAAATATCTTCGTTTGGATGATACATGATGTGGTTATCCGAGACTTATTCCAGGCATGCAAAGGAATGGCTGTGTATCAGGAAATACCTTCACATAAATGCAGAGAGTTTGGCACCATTCTCTCAGCCCAGAATCACTGTATGCATTGTTTATTTTACTAGGTCATATAAGATCCTCTTTTGTTAGTAATCCCTTCTTTTTGCTCACCCATTCACACCTGAGACATATGTTCTCTTTTCCAGGGTCCCCTTAAAGGCTTTCTGGAAGATTTAGGCAAACTGCAGAAGAAATTCTATGCCAAAGACGAACGGTTACTTTGTCCCATCAGGACCTACTTGGTTACAGCCCGGAGTGCGGCGAGTTCAGGCGCCCGTGTGCTGAAGACCCTTCGCCGCTGGGGTCTAGAGATAGATGAAGCTCTTTTCCTGGCTGGAGCCCCCAAAGGTCCCATCTTGGTGAAGATTCGGCCCCACATCTTCTTTGATGATCAGATGTTCCACATCGAATCAGCACAGAAATTCGGCACCATCACAGCCCATGTACCTTATGGCATTGCACAAAAGCGCAACTAGGGATGGGGAGGAGAAATAAACAGTGACAGTCTGGTATTGAAAAATGAAAAGTTGCGTTTTGGTTGTCTAGAGTAATTAGGTATTTCCGCAGACCGGATCACAAAACTAAGCACCCTTTGGTGTTTTTTTTTTTTTCCTTCCTTCCTTCCTTTCTCTTTATTTTGTTGTTGTTGCTGCTGCTGCTATTGAAAAACACTTTGAACTGTCAAGCTACTTCTCTGAAGGGTACTGAATCCCATTGTACCTCTCTATCTGTGTAAGTCATAATGGTAGCTCTTTAGGTAAATTTAGAGTTTGCATACATAAGTTGTTTCACAAGAAGCTCAATTAACTTTCAAAAACATTGCTTTTTTTTTTTTTTTAACGTTACCCGGCCGAATGAATTTCTACCCATCATCACCTAGAACAGGCATCTGCCAGTTAGAAAGAACACTACTGGAATCTAAGGAAGTGCCCTTTGTTAGTTCCGTGTGGCGAGCTGTTTAACAAAATCAAAGTGAGAAATGTTCCGTCGTCTGCAGGCGCATGCCAATTTTAACACTGTCCGCTTCTAAATGAATCCACTAGTGGTTTCCACAGGGTGGTTTCTAAGATGAACTCTACTTCAAGGTGCCCTCAGGAGGGAAACTACAAATCCCAGCAAGCCCCGCGCGCACTAGCCCAGGACGGCAGGCGGCGTCCCAGAGTCCTTTGCGTGCAGTGGCCCCTTTGGACCCCGGAACTTGTGCTCTAGGCTCCGTGTGTCCTGCCCGGAAGGCTATGGCAGTGGCGACTGTGGCCGCAGCGCTCCTGGCCGCACTGGGTGGGACGCTGTGGCTGGCTGTGCGGCGGTTCTCGGGGTCCAGGGACCAGCGGATGCAGGGAGGCGGGGACCAGAGCCTCATGCACGGAAAGACAGTGCTGATCACTGGGGCAAACAGCGGCCTGGGCCGAGCCACGGCCGCCGAGCTGCTGCGCCTCGGGGCGCGGGTCATCATGGGCTGTCGGGATCTCGGGAGAGCGGAGGAGGCGGCTGGTCAGCTCCGGCAGGAGCTCGGCCAGGCCGGGGGTCAAGGTCAAGAGCCCGACGCCGCCAAAGGCCAGCTGGTCGTCAAGGAGCTGGACCTTGCCTCTCTACGTTCAGTGCGAAACTTCTGCCAAGAATTGCTGCAGGTGTGGGTCTACTGAAGCCCAGCCAGTCATGGGGGAGGGCCCCCCACCCCCAGGCCTGCCTGATGTGACCTTGAGAGTGGGCAGGACTGAGAAAGACACCTGCTTTCGGGGGACCCTGCTGGGAGGAGGGGCAAGTCCGAGAAGGAATTCCTGGGAGGTCCCCAGAGGAAGTGAATAAATAAGCCAGTGTCTGGACATTCCGTTTTGTTAGGCGAGGACAGTCCAGGAATCATCACCCGATCTTTGAATTGTTTTTCCTGTGTCAGAAGTTAAATGTGTGCCAGATCTTCCATGGTGTCCCAAGGCCTGAGAGCACTGCAGGAGAAAAGCTCGCCAAGAGCTTTGGTTAGGCCCGCTGTAAAAGTTTCCTTGCTGTTTTTCTTTCTTATTCCCATTTCTTGATTTTGTTTGTTTTGCCCTGCTAAAGTTGGCAGGAGTGTCTCTTGCTGATTGACAACCTTTGCATCATCCCTAACTAGATTCTATCCCATTTCCAAAGAGAATGGAATTTGGAATCCTCTTTATGGCCCAAAGCAGAACAGGAATAAAAATCATAGGCCTAGCTTTATTGAATATTTGATGTATGACAGGAGATGTGCCAGGCACATCATTAGTTACTGTCAGATCTTGACTTTAATTATACTAAAGCAAGCATTAATATCTCCATCTCCTAATAGGGAACAGAAGCATAGGAAGGTTAAGTAACATGTCTTTCTTCAGTCTTTGCCTTCTTGGTGCTTGATGGCTGAGGAGTGGATGGTACACTGAAGTAGAAAGATTGTGGCCAAGGTGATTTACCAGAGGTAGATCTAAAGTCAGCTAGGCACAGGGAGACCACTTGTCTCAGTTGGAATCTCTTGACTCTAAAGCTGAGGGGTCTGGCTTTTTTTTTTTCCATGATGTACTTAGATCAAAAGAAATATCTGGAAGTTCATTTGTTAGCAGTTAGATCTAAGCAGCCTTAGCCTGCATGTGCTAACAACTCTCTAACAGTCCAATAAAAGCATCCTTCAAAAAGAAGTTTCTTATTTAACTCTATGTAGTCGTGATTGCTAATGGAATAGTGTGCTTGTTTGCCACTGTAGGAACTTTCCCAGTCCCCAAGTTCCTTCAGCTTCCTTCTTGTTCTGCATAGATTGTTTTAGTTTTGCCCTTGCTTCTAAGACCATAGCTGTTAATAACTGGTAAACGCAAAGCTGTACAAAGAAACCGTCTCATCAGAAGAAAGCCCATCCTGAACCACTTACCTAGAGGTAGTAGCTTTTGAGATAATGAGTATCACAGTTCTCAAAACTGAAACCATTGCACAGCACGCTCCTGTTATGTCCTAGGGAAGCATGTTGCATGTTAAGAGCTGGTGCAGGTCAAAGAAATTGTTTTGTTGTTAACATGTCATTTGCATGTAGCAGATCACGTAGCAATATTAGTCTCTGGGAGATTTTGGAAGCATAGAAAGCAGGTCATTCTGATCACTGACATGTATAGGGTTGAGCATGTTCATTCCTGATACCTTTGCTGCTTGAACAGAACACAAAGAGGTAGGTAAATTGTGTTACCCAAAGTATTTACATTCTTGCTTGGCGCTGAAGTTCAGTGATTATAATTAGAAGGAAAAGAATTGGAGGTTTTGACATTCACTGTTTGGTATTCTTGGAATTTACACCATTTATCTTCTAGAATTTAAAAAATAATAAATGATAAGGTCTTAACACAAACCCAGCAAAGAATGATAGGTCAGAAATGATTAATTCTGGAGCCCTTTCCAGAAGATTAGCGAAGATGAACACTCCTTCCTTCCCCGTATCTGTGAACTCATATTCCCCTTTTAAAGTTGACTAATGCAATACATGAAAGTTTTTTCCTCGGGCCAGAATGAGAAACAGTTAACCTACAGGTAGCCTTTGATAACAGTTGTGAAATTTAACACATTTTTCTTTCACTTACACTTGGCAAAGAGAGAGAATTGAAATTTGACCTGAAATTAATTTAATCATAGGTCATCACTGTGACTTTACACCTGGAACACATTGTGCATTTCTTTCCCTCTGTCATCAGAAGAGACAGAGAAGCCAGAAAAGAGCCAAGGAAAACCAACCTAAATGATGTAAGGAATGAAAAGACTCCCTGTGAGAACAGTACAGTTTAGGACTTTAATTTGGGAAGATGTGGAAGTGTATGATGCTTGGAAGAGATTTCATATGGGGAAGAAAGGGCCACGTTCTGGAACCACAGTGATGGTTAATGGTGTCTGTTGATGCTATCTCTTTAATCTCTTGTACTGTTGGCTCCCATGATGGTTCTGTGTTCTTACTAATATTTTGATGTTATCCACTCAATGATTTGATTAACCTTTCTTTCTTGATTTTTTAGCAGTATTCACTCTAGTCCAAAGTTTCCTTCTCTGACTTGTTTTTTTTTTTTTTTAATTCCAATTTTGGGGAAGTGCCTTGAAGTTATTCTGTCACTGTGGTGACATTTTATACTTAACAGAACTGCAGAATAAAACATCTTAATTTGCCATTGATGGTGGTACCAGTAAGGTGGGAGTCACAAAACCAGCCCTTTGCTGGATATGGTCAGCCTTGCTCACCGTGACTCAAGCTCTGTTTTTTTTTAATTATTGATTTTTATTGAGCTCTGTATTTTTCTCTGCTCCCCTCCCTGCCTCTCCCCTTCCCTTCAACCCTCTCCCAAGGTCCCCGTGTTCCCAATTTACCAGGAGATCTGTTTTAAACAGCCCAGTTAGAAGATAGAAGGCAAGGCTAGGTTACTAATTATGAGAATAGGCTTTGGAATCTAAGGATTTCATCTTCAGGCTGATTCTGACTTGCCTCTTAGATGCCTGGTGACAATGACCAAGTCACCTGGGTCTGTCTTGAACTTAATGACTTTAGAAGTAAATGAGGTTATCTGAGAAAGGGACCAAGCAGGCCCCTGCTAATCATGTAACATTGCCTTAAAAGTCTATTTTTTTCATATTTTGCAAGATTTTTTAGTTTTATCACAGGGACACATTATAAATTTGATATAACAACACCAAACTGATATTTTTCTTGTTCAACTGAAATTAAGAGAACACATACCATCCTAGGAGTCTCTCACCTCCAAATTTTGTATTTCTGTTTTCAAAAAGACTTTGATAATTATATCATCAACATCTGAGTGAAATGTAAGAGTATACATATTCATAATCATTAAGTTGTAGAAAGTCTAAGATTGACAGTGTCAAACAGTTACTGGATACATAGGCTAAAACTTGAGATTAGTTTTAGTCTCAAACTCCTTTCATTGTTAGGAAAACAGACCCGAGTGAAAAGAGCTGTGGAAAATGCGTGTTCCTAATTCTGCATTCTCTTTCTGGTTTTAAAGGAGGAACCCAGGCTTGACGTCCTGATCAATAATGCAGGGATCTTCCAGTGCCCATACATGAAGACGGAAGATGGCTTTGAGATGCAGTTTGGAGTGAACCATCTGGGCCACTTCCTACTCACCAATCTTCTGCTTGGCCTCCTCAAAAGTTCCGCTCCCAGCAGGATTGTCGTCGTTTCTTCCAAACTTTATAAATATGGAGACATCAACTTTGAAGACTTGAACAGTGAACAGAACTATAATAAAAGCTTCTCTTATAGTCGAAGCAAACTGGCTAACATTCTTTTCACTAGAGAACTAGCCCGTCGCTTAGAAGGCACAAACGTGACTGTCAATGTGTTGCATCCTGGTATTGTGCGGACAAACCTCGGGAGGCACATACACATCCCACTGTTGGCCAGACCACTTTTCAATTTGGTATCGTGGGCGTTTTTCAAAACTCCACTAGAAGGTGCCCAGACTTCCATCTACTTAGCCTCCTCACCCGAGGTGGAAGGGGTATCCGGAAAGTACTTTGGAGATTGTAAGGAGGAAGAACTATTGCCCAAAGCTATGGATGAGTCAGTTGCAAGAAAACTGTGGGATATCAGTGAAGTGATGGTCGGCATTTTAAAGTAGGAGTAAAGATAAGAGCGCTATTTATAAGACTATCCATCACGGCTTTGGTTGGGAGCAGCGTGTTGTGAGCGTGTGCTATTTGAAAACAGTTTGAGTTTTATGGTAATACTGCCGAGAGGTACACATGAACACTTGAAGAGCGCTGTTACGTGGGCTAATGCAAAGTTAAAAAACTAAAGTGAGCAGCACCATTCTCTGTTTTACTATTAAAAATTATAATTGGGCAATCATAAATAACAAATGCAAAGATATTGGCAGTTTAAAAGGTATTTTAAGAGGGTTTACTAAAACCTTTTGCGTTTCACAGTGAGATGTTAAGAATTTTTCCTACAGTGCCTGTTTTGTGGAAATAATATGCCTAGTGTGTGCACATAAATTATTACTTGGAATAAATTTATGAAGCCGATTCCTCAGTGTGCATTTCTTTAGAAGTATCTGAGTGCAGTTCATAGCTTGTCCTCCCTGGCCTTTTGTAGTCTTGCTGTACCCATGTTCTTCCTGTCATATCTTGTATACTGCTCGGAAACTTTTTGTTTATAAAACTCCAGTCTATGACCTCGTGTCCTAACGCACTTGCAAACCTGTGATGGTTTTCGAGTTAACCTTGCAGTAAGTTTTCTTAGCCTCTTTCTGATGCTGTTTTGTTTTTTGTTTTCCTTTTCCAGCTGTCGAAGTCTTTTACTGTAACGTCAATGTTGAGTATATAAATATAGCAGTGATGTAGGGCTGGCATTCCCCAAAGGGACATAGATTGTTGTAGTTGATAGAGCATCTGTAAACTTTCAGCTCTATAATACGTGCTGGAGATCCTTCACAAACTGCCACATGCCTGTGCTCAGTCCTGTTGAATGGAAAGAACTCTAGCCCCCACAGCCCAACAGAGTGTACTAGACATGGAAATAGAGTGCATGAAATATTGCAAAACAAACTTACAATCTTATTTAAACAGGCAAATGTCTGGTCACGACCCTCTTAGACTGTCTATCTGTAGGGTTCAGCCCTGAATATAGAAGAGTCATCCACGTCCTTGCCTTCAGATCATCTCTTCATATGTTCCCTGACATGTGTCCAGCAGGTGAACCTGTAGGCAGAAGCAATTCTGTCTTCTTGTTTTGTTTCCCCAACTTAGCTTTGCTTAAAGTGCGCTAATTGGTCACGCCAGGGCTGGTTAGACAATTTAAAAAAATTATCCAAAGAAAGTAATTTTTCTCCCTCAAAAATCAAAGTATAGTAGCTGACATGGAGTGAAAAAGAACAACAAAGAATGAACTATAAATACATTTACATATGCTTTATAAAATATATATTTTATACATATATGAATTTTATTTATTAAGTATGTACATATATAATAGTTATAATAAAATGTTTTATAAAAATACTTCAGCCAAAATGGGCATATTATAGGCTTCTGTGTTTTAATATCAGAAACATCAACTTAATAACTTAATTATTTTTTGTCCTGTCACCTCAGAATATTAATGAAAACACCAAATGAGAGGCAGCTCCCTTTAGTTTAATGACCATTAGGGCAAAGCTAATGCTTATTATTTCTAAGAACTTGTCGGACCTGGTTAAAAATATTGTTTCTTCCCCAGATTGGCACGATCTTGGCAGATCACACTAGAGGTCTGCTTTCCTTTAGAGCATTGCCTTCTGAGTACAGCAAATGGTCCTCTCACCACAGGTGTGTCTCTGAGGACATAGTGGGCAGAGCTACGCCGTAGTCTTTGAAATGTGTTTTAGAAGGTCATCCTACAAAGAGACCTGCTAAACGTGGAAATATGGGCAGGAAGTACACGAGAATGCAGCTTGGAAAAATAGAAGCTAATAAATCTGTCCTACACCTCGGCTTCATTAAAAAGGAGCTCCCTTTTTCGTTTAATACCATCTTTCTCTGGCTGTATTTTGATACCTGATGCTTTTCAGGGGATTTGGACCTTTTGAGCCTTTCAGCGTTCTTGTTTGTGGCACTACAATAAAATAGGATATATTAATTTATAGTGATGGGAAAAGAAACTTATCTGCAAACACCAGCTATTACGGTAAAATGAGCTGCCATTTGGAAGATGTCTTCCCCACTACTGTGCCTGATGGAATCAAGGGCCCGTAGCAGTGGCATGGGAAGATCATTCCAGCCCTCTCTTTCTCCCATAACTCACTCCTGATCTTTCCACCACGCAAAGGAGTAAGGGAAACCATTCTATTACTTTGATACTTTTACTCTCAGCAAAATACTGGTAGAACAATTGCCTGGGCCAAACAATGGAATAAGTGAAGTGAAACCCATTTTTTCCCTCCTTATTCTTGACTTTGTTATTGGTTGATTGGTTGGCTGGCTGGTTAGTTGGCTGGCTTGCTGGCTGGCTGGTTGGTTGGTTGGTTGGTTGGTTTTAAAACTGACTTCATTCAAGCATTTGGTCCTATAAGCAGCACAATCATTGGCCTGCTGTTTGAGCATCACCCACAGTACGTAATCAAGTGGGGTTCCTAATTACCATTTAGCTGGGAAAGGGGTTTAATTTCTTAGCATACCACTACACTGGGTTTAGTTAATCACTCCCCAACTTAACTCTTCTAGCGATCGTGGAAAATTACATAACGATTCTAAAACTTGTCTTCTTAGCGCTAGCATCAGCTACAATGTCCATTGTAAAGCTTCTGGTTGTGTATGCATATATGCCTGTGCCACAACATACATAGGAAGGTCAGAGAACAAGTTTGTGGATTCTGCTCTCTCCTTCCACCTTGTCCTTGGTTCTGGAGATCAAGTCATCAGGCACCTATAGCAAGCACTGAACTATTTTGCTGGCTGACAACTACTGATTTCAAAGGACAGGTCAGTGAATGAATGTGTAAGAGAGAGTCAAGCATTTAGACAGATGGTAACCTAAACATGCATCCACTTCTGTTTCAAAACCATGCCTAATAATGACAGTCGAAGTAATAACGATCAGTAATAGTAATGGTTAGCGGAGTATGTTTGATGGAAAGGACTCTAAACCATGAACCAGTAGCCTGTTTCTGCAGAAAGCTAACTGTGCATATTTCAGGCTTGGTGAGCCATTGTCAATCCATGTTAGATATTCTCACATACTGTCTTTGTTTTTACCCCAATATTATAAAACTGCAAAAACCATGCTCAGCTAGGCCAGAATATTCTATTGCGCTTCAACAACCTCAGTGCCGTCTTCCAAGCCTGCTACATTCACATAGAGTTCATCTTTCTGTGGTGCTTGTAAAAACAGCAACTCCTTCTGTACGGGGCAGCTTCTGTTTTTCTATATGATTTTTAATCTTGTATGATTATTTACTCGAAGACCCAGGAGGTCTAGAGAGTATATTTTGAAATCTATCTCCAACTATAGATTCTGGGGTGAGGAATAGCAGTTATCTGCTTCCAGCTCCGTCCCCGCACAAACCTGCTGGGCCTGGCCAGAGATCTAAGAAAAATCTATATTTGAATATTTAATTGATTCCAAATGTCCCAAGAATCACTAAAGAGAACATGTTACTAATCACCCTTCAGGAGCTGGGCCCCCACAGACAGCTTCAGATGTTCACAAGGCTTCTCTGGACAATGGGGAGTTAAATTAGTTACAGGTCAACATGGAGGAAGGTAGTTAATTCCTAGAGGAAAGTTGGAAGGCATGCCCAGCTTTCTGCAGACAGCAAGGAAGAGGTTTTTGCCAAGCCAGATGTTTAATCAAAGTTACTCTACTTTGATGCGCTCTTCAGCAGCCACCATGTGACTGACTTACTGTAAGAGCAGAAGCTCCATTCTTTCTGAGAAATACACAAATTGAGACTCGTAACCTGTAAAGATGGTGATGAGTTCATTTCTAGCATGGCGTTGTGTCCATCCTTTGGAAACCGCGAGAATATCTTGTCAAAGTTCATGCTGGAAAGCTGTAAAACTACATTGCAAAATGTAAAAGGAAAGAGAGGGAGGGAGGGAGGGAGGGAGAACAAACCCTTGCAATATTTTTAGTAAGTTTATAATTATGTGGCAGACCACATTTCCAGTTGTCCTGGGATACATGTGGCCTATATACCACAGGTTGGCTTTAACTGTGAACCCTTTGCTCCCCTTCATCCTGTCATCGTTAAGACAAGGAGATTATGTGCCATCACTTGTCCAATTAACAAATATTTGAATATCTTTCACATGTTAGACCTTGGCCTGGTATCTGCATGCTGGGGATGCAGGCAGCAACAGAGAAAAGCCAGCCAAAGCTATGTGTCCTTGTGTGCTCATTAGCTGTGTTAATCACAGGACAATTTAATAGTCATAACATAAACTGCTAAAACGTAAGGTCAAAGAACAAGTGGATTTCTATAAAACGTCGTCTGAGTGCTTTGCAACAAGAAAACGAGGGCAGATCATTGGAAATTTCCGGTTGAATAAAGTGACAAACAGCTATCTTTACTAAAAATAAATGCACAAAAAGTTTGGGGACTCAGTGCCTTGAAAGTGATTTTAAGCTGGGTCCATTTTTTGGCTATTTTTTTGCTTGTTTTCATTTTTATTTGTTTAATTTGTAGGCTGACAAAACAATTGGCTTTACTACGGCATTTTTGTACACATGCAGCATTATACTGCATTCTTATTTTCATCCTTCTACCACACTGTTTGGTCCTCTTTTAAAAAGAAATGACACCAAAGTTGGAACTCATAGACTGTGCTCCCTACGTGAATATAGTGTTAGAAGATACAATTCCAAGTGGATTTAATCTCAAAGAGCAGCAAGGAGGTTGATTAAGCCCTTAGCCTCAAATGAGATGAAGGTTAATGAATGGATGTGTTCTGTTTCCAGCTCAGGTAATAGCTTCATGGTGTAGACGGCTCACCACTGTTATTTCCTTCCTTAAGCCTTTTCGTGAAACCAGCCAGTTTCAAAGACGAGGGTTTCTACTGTGGAAGACACAGTAATCACTGGCATTTCAGAAGAATTTCAGTTGGACGGAATTTATAATACACATTTTCTATGGGGTGATTCATAATTAGCCAATGACTTCTAAATTTTGGAATGACTTCTTTTTTTTTTTTTTTAATGTACCAACGTGCTGAATTGATTGTCTGATGTAATCAGTGTGGTCCCAACATGTTTTTGCAGCTGCTCCTTCAGATTTAATTTCATTATCAGCTTTGCCTCTCTCTCCCTCATTTAAAAAGTGCCAACTAATTATGGTAAATAGCAAAGTTCCTGAATGCTTAAGGTTTATTGTTTTAATACTGTCATCTTGAATTCAGAAGTTACGTGTTATGTATGTGTTACGGTCCCATTGCTGATATTTGAGGTCTTTTGAAGCTATTCATTCATTCATTCATTTATAAATCCAAACTTAAGACAAAGTAGTTACACCTTTCTTTTGTTGTTGTTGTGACGTTACACACATCTAAAT